GCCTTCCAGGCGTTCTCCGTCTCGCGCAGCTTGACGTCGCGGTTGAGGCTGATTTCGATGCGGCGCGGTCCAGGCCCGGGGCCGGCCTGCTGCTGCATCTCGCGCCGGCCCTGCTGCGAGCCGCGTCCGCCGCGGTAGCCCTGTCGCAGGGGGCGCCACCGTCCGTCAGCCGAGCGCCCGCGCCACCCGCCGACACACGACACTCCACTGGCGGCTGTGGCCGACGGCCATCACGTGAAGCCGCCGCCGCCGCCGCCTCGTGAAGGGGTGGTTCATCGACACACACACCGCGTTCAACTCGCAGAACTTGCCAACTGCCGATGCCCCAATTTTAGTCACCATTTGTGAACTTCAAAGATAATCTGAAATATCGCAGCACGACAATGAGCAATGAGTGAGCGTGCTACGCCCACATACCTAAAGAAAATAATCACCCACAAAGTACACCATCTCAAATAGCGGCGTGGGGCATACTTGCCATGAACGACTTAATTTCACGTACATCTTTCGTTCAGGAATTACTTATAACACGAAATCTGAAGGAAATTTAGTCTACTCAATGTTCCCAAGGCACGATTTCTAAATCCGCGGGCTCGTGGTTCACCTGTATGAAACTAACGATATGCCTTATTTGGCGCGGGACGAGCAAGGCGGCGCCAGAAGGCTGCTACATCAAATAGAAGCTACCCGCTCCTAATCGACTGGAAATGGACATCTCTGAAAGCCATCCAAACAACCTTATCGTGAGTCACGCCCGTCTGCCATGGATGTTCCGCATGCGGGCTTTCCACGGTGTGGCTCGCATGGACGTGCCGTTTTTTCAAAGACGTGGCGCCCATGTCCCAACTATTCGACAGCACTACTTGAAAATGGGCTGGCGACGGACGCCAGTGCGCCCGGCGATTTCAGCCACGAAGTAAATGTATCAGCACTTATAATGTATCCATGTGCCCAGAATATTCCGGAAATGCGCCCATATCTTGGGCAAGTGTTGTGCAGTTATTTGGACACATCTCTACCGTGTTTAGCGTCACATCACCTGCTTTAGTCCACAGATTCTTTAAAGATGTAGACCAACCCTCCTTTGACTGGGTGGACTTCTGGGATTAGAGCTCACGCCAGGCACTGCCTGTTGCGTGAGCCCTGATCGCTACCAGCTGACCGTGAAATTTCAGGTCAACGGTAGAAACTGGTGGCGAAAGCTTAACGTGCCTCAATGTTCAGCAGCGTCGCTCCTGCCCTCTGACGTCACCTGACCTTCGGCGCGGCCGCTACCATCGGCCATCCCAGTCAAGGACAAATACAGTCCAGCCAGTCGAGCACACGAAGCGTCTCGAACCCCCCCCCCCCCCCCCCCCCGCCACGGGTGGGTGCATCGGAAGGTAGGCGCCCTGGCCAGCTGAGCAGTCGGGACGGACTGAGTTTCTGCGGAGGACTAGGTTTCTGCGGATCGGACTGGAATGAGTAGTCTTCGATTCACGAACGGCGTAGCCGCTTAAATTACATATTCGTTTCGTGCCGTTTTTCGCGGTCATAAGTTAACGTTTGCCACATCAATGGATGCAAACGTATAATTTTTCCACAATGATGCTATGACACATTTTAGTGATGATGCAATACTAGGGAGAAACGAGGCCTGATTACACAGCTGGCAAATTAATGCCTCAAAAACATCACGGGGCAAGAATTTTGACAGCGAATATTCACAGCTCCTCTGGATGTTACTTTAATCAAACTGGCTTTCTCCAAATCACGTCTCAAACATAACCATAGCATTTCACAAGACAGCAAGAGTCTGAAGGGGCAAAACCCAGTAAGCCTATAGTCATCAGCGAAGAACTGCAACCGCGTGGCGGTTACCGTGGCTCAGATGAGGAAAAGGCCTTTATCGCCGGACCAAGACAAGATGGGTAGCTCCTTGACAATTTCCCATGGCCCCAGTTGAACTCGTCCGGCCTTCAGTGTCTGCCCCGATGAGGCCAGACACCGCCCGGCCGTGGAGTCGGTTCGGCGCCGCGCTCGGGTCGGCACCGGCCCGGCCGCCCCACGCCCCGTGTCGCTGCCCACCTTGTTCGGCAGCGGCTTGAAGCCGGGCGCGTAGTCCTGCATGCCGGTGGTCGGGCCCATGCTGCGCGACTTGATGGCGGCGAAGGCGCGCGCGTCACCCGCAGGCCGCTCCTTACGCACGATCGACGGCAGGTCGGGCAGCTGGTCGGGCCGCTGCCGCGACAGCGGGTGCACCTGCAGCTTGAGCAGCTCGTCCCGGTCGTACTGCATCTTGTGGCCGATAAGCAGCGACTCCTCTGCCGAGAGCGGACAGTGCACACGCCGTCAGACGACCGGTGGCGGCGCAGACGGCTGCGCCGCGCTCGCACGCCCGAGTCTCGACAACGGAGCATCGACCCCGACATTACCCGGTCGCAGACGATCAGTCACACACACGTGTCAGTCATAAGAACGGTCTGCGCGCACCTGTCGCCGCCGCCGGCCGCTTCGCGCCGACCGAGTGACTCACCTTTCATCCGTTCGACCTCCAGCTGCCATTTGGTCTTCTGGGGCGTGGCCGGCGCCTCCTCCTCGCCCGCTGTGCCGTTCACAACCGGCGTCTCGCCGTCCACGATCTCGCCCTCCTCCAGCTCTTGCTCCTGGCCTCCCTCCTGCTTCTGCTTCTGCTCCTGTTCCGGCTGCGCAGTCGACTGCAGCGTGGTCCCGGTGAGCGTCGACTGCGGCTTCGGGCTCGGTGGGCGTCGACTCCGGCTTCGGCTCGGTGGGCGTCGACTGTGACTTGACCTCGGTGGGCGTCGACTGCGGCTTAGGCTCGGTGGAAGTCGACTGCGGCTTGATCTCGGCGGGCATCGACTGCGACTTGGGCTCGGTGGGCGTCGGCTGCGGCTTGGGCTCGGTGGGCGTCGACTGCGGCTTAGGCTCGGCGAGCGTCACCTGCGTCTTGACCTCGGTGGGCACCGACTGTGGCTTGGTTTCGACAGGCGGCGTCGGTTCGTCGGCGTCGGCGCCTGTCCGCTTGGGCGCTACCTCCGCCGCCGTGGGCTCGGCGGCCGGCGGCGGAGTCGGGATCGGCGTAGACGCTGGGACTGATGTCGGAGACGCTCCCACGGGCGCCGGCCCTTCGGCCGACTGAGCCTTCCAGACGGGGGCGGGAGCGGAGGCCGGAGCGGCGACCGGGGTGGGAGCGGGGGTGGATGTGGGGGCTGCAGCGAGAGCGGCAGTCGTCGCTGCTGTCGGAGTCGCGACCTCCGGGGTCACCTTCGTGGTGGGAGCCGGCACCGTGGCTTGCGGTGCAGCGGGCGGCTTTGTCGCAGGAGCCTCGGCCGCAGAAGCCTGCTTGGGAGCCGGCGCAACCGGCGGCGATACCGACTTCGGAACAGGAACCGCAGTTTCAGGAGTCGGTTTGGTTACAGGCGCCACAGTCCCAGGGGGCTCTTTCTGAGTACGGGCAGGAGCCGCCGGCGTCTGCTTGGATGAAGCAGAGGGCAGGGCCTCGTGTGCTGACTTCGGTGGGGCTGGGGTCGACGTAGCAGGGGCTGATTTTGCAGCGGGAGCCGCGGCTTCAGGCGCCTGCTTGGGAGCCGGGGGAGCGGTTTCAGCCTGCTTCGGGGCAGTCACCGGCTCGGGAGCCGACTTCACGGGAGCCGACACCACCGGGGCCTGTTTCGGGGCGGGGACCGCTGGGGCAGCAGCTGGCTTCGCAGCGGGAGTTTCTTTCGGAGCGGGTGACGGCGGCGCCGGCGTCTGCTTCGGGGCGGGAGTCGCAGGCGCAGGGGCAGTCTTGGCGGGAGGAGGGGCAGTCTTGGCGGGAGGAGGCGCAGCCGCGGCCGGCGCTGGCTTGGCAGCCGGCGGAGACGGCGCAGTGGTTGGTTTGGCGGCAGCTGCCGGCGGCACCGGGGGACGCTCCACCACCGGCTTACTGTCTACAAAGGCGTCCATGTCTCCTCCACCCTCCTTTCCCTCGGCGCGCCGATTAAGCTCGCGCATCTTCTGCTTTGTCTTGGTCTTCTTCTGTGAGCTTTGGCGACCTGAAACAGAAACGACCGGTCAGCATGCCCAGTCCGCGGGGCCAACAGCAGCAGCCAGCCGCGAACAAGCGGTTGCCCGATCCCACGGACCGGCGCCTGTGCCGCTCCGACCGCAGACAGCTGGCCGGGTATTTCCGCCCCGGACCATGCGATTCACATCCAACATCAATAAAACCGGCCTGGCCGGTCGGCGACCGTGGCGCGGGAGCAGCCGCCAGCGCCCGCCGACCAGCCACCACTCGCGGCGGCGGCGGCGGCGGCGGCCGCGTGACACGACGCAGAGCCGGCTGTCGAGGTGCAAACTGTGCCCGCCGCCGCCCACGTGGCCCGGCAGCCGGTCGCCGCGTGACGCGCATTGGCAACTGGCTTTCGCTCGGCCGGCGCCTCTGCATTCCAGAGTGGCGATAGCGCCAGCCGGGTGCCGCTCGACGAGCCTGTCGTGGCGCCCCGCCCGGCTGTAAATGGTCAGGCGGAGACGGCCGGCGCTGACTCGGCCACCGGCCGGCGTCGGCGGCGCCACGTCGGCGCGGCACGCACCCTAACCGGGCCCACCCACCCACGCAGATGCCGGCGCGCAGACGAGAGAAAAACACCAGACGCCTGGAGCGGTGAACCAGAGCCTCGCGGCAGGCGGCGAGACGGGCCCGCCAGTGCGGTGGGCGCGCCGCGCACCACGCGACAGACCGAGCGCCCGGGTCACCAGTAGTTCATTACGGACCGCCAGCGCCGGGTGACAGCTGTTAGCCGCACATGTGCCACTCAGCTACGGACAGACACCCGTCCCGCCACACCCAGCGCCACACCCAACCGGGCATTTTCGGAAACGGCAGGCCACCCGGCGTCAATGGATTGCATCAGCGACTCGATGATGAGCCGATGTCGTACAGTGGGGACCACGTGGAACGCTGACGTTACGTAACACCGCCAGGCCGCGCAGGAGGAGCAGCACAGCTGAAGGGCAGAAGCACAAGTGCACCGAGCGCGGGAAGACAATTCAAAACGAGCCTGAACTAATATGAAAAAGACTCAGAGAAGCAGTACAATTGTAGCCCATTCGTTTTTAGTGCTAGCTTCATCCCGGGAGAGATCGCGACTCACGCGATATTGGCGCAGTTTACTGAGACTTTCTAAACGCAAAGGAGTGACTGACGCGGTCCCTCCTCCCCCTCCCTCCAGCCCCGCCCCCCCCCCCCCCCGAGTGAAGGGAGCGGCTGCAGGTGATCAAGCGGCACTAGTCAGCCGCCTGCCACGTCAGCCCGCCACCGCCGTCGCTGCCTGGAGGCCCCGGCAGTGGCCAGTCACCGCAGCCGGCGGCCCGGGCGCCGAACAGTTATTGCTGCACTGTGAGCGAACCGCCGCCGCTGTGCGCCGACAGCCGTCGGTGGCGGTGTGCGGGGGCCGACGGGCCACGTCCGGACCGGCCGTCAGTCGGGCCGGGAGGTCACAGCCGTCACGTCAGCTGGAGACAGGCCGACAGCGCGACCGTTGCCACCCGGCGACGCCCGGCCGCCGCCGCCGCCGGCTCAGTTCCCGCGGCCCCGGCTGGGCCCAGACACGGGTCAGCTGGCGGCCGGCCGCTCCTCCGCCGGCGGCGCGGCCGGGCCTGGTGTCGCGCATCCGGCCGGGCGGGGCAACGAAAGCTTCGCCGGCCGGCCCGCCGGCGCCGGTAGAAAGCGGACCGGCCCGGTCACCTCACCCGGAATCGCCGGCGTCTCTCCAGCATCGCCGCCCGGTAAAAATAGCCGCGCGGACGGGCTCGCCGGCCAACTATTTCTGGCGACGGCCGGCGCCGACCGCTCGCCAACTGCACAACAGGCTCGGAGGGGCCAGCGCCGCCGCCGCGGCAACCCGTCCGTCGCTCGGCCCGGCGGTATTTATCGATCGGGTCCTCTCCCGAAAACAGGTCGCGCCGTCTGGCCTCAAGGCCGTGGGAGCAGCTGTCCGTCCGCACCGCCCACGCAGTGGCCGGGGTCGCGCGGCACGCGGCCCGCCGGCCGACCGGGCGGCGCACTCGTCCCCCTCCCCCCCGCTCAGCCAGGACCGGCCAGCGCCCGCGCCTCCAGCGCTGTGTACCAGCACCGGCCGCATTCCAGCTGGGTCCAGCGCCCAGCGGCGCCGCAGCACTTACGGTTCTGGCCGCCGCGCCCGCGCGCCTGCCGCTCGCGCGACAGGCTGCGGGACGAGGGCACGCCATTGGCGCGGTCACCGCCGCCGCGAGCGCTCTCCATGTCGACCGGTACACTGGGCCACGCTCACTGGTCGGCACATTGCGCGCACACCGCCGCGACCATGTTGGCCGAGCCACTGACGACCGGGCCGAGAGGCAGCGCTGTTCGCCGGCCGGCCGCCAGGCGGCAGCACCGCGCCGGCCCCGATCACGTGACCGCGCCCGGCCGGCGACCTTGTGGCGGCGGCGGCGGCGGCGAAAACGTCTGAGCAGCCCCGCCAGACGTCGCCCGCCACCCCTCAGGACCCACGTGCCACCGGCGCATTCTTGCATGCATCGGGCCGGCGAACGGGTCGGGCGGAACAATGGCGGTCAGTGGGCACCGGCGGAGGAGAGCCGACCGCTATGTGGAGACGACACGACCGTGGATGAGCGGCACAGATCGCTCCTTCCATCTTTTACCCTCGCCGGTACAGTGGGGCCACCACACATGTGCCTGCGCCGTGAACGATCGCGATTACGTCCGCTAAACGGCTCACGAGCTTTGTAGCAAATCAAATTGATACCAAATATTTGCCAGTCAAGTGAATTTTTTACAAAGCCAGGTCCGGTGCCGCAGGACGACAAACTCAACTGCACTGAACGGTGGACGTCCTGTTCCGAACTCGTCAAGCGGGAGCAGCTGAGTTAAAATAAAGAATAACTAAGAGACAAAAGGAATACTTTCTAGCGGCATTCGATGATCACGAAAAGAATCGCGCGATCTTCTCCACAAGGCTCTTGCGACTCTACGCATTTGAACTTATACGCATTCTCTACGAGCGCAAGCGTCTGCACCTAAGGGCACCACCAGGGACACCACATCGAGAGAAGCGGTCGGCCATTATCGACCGCGTCACTATCGCCGAAACCCTACACCTGCTACCCTCTCCCGGGCGAGGAACCAGCATGACTGGTATCCGGTGGCCGGGTGGCCGGTGTCCGTTGTCCGGCGACCATGACATGGCCCGCAGCTTAACGCAAAGCGCGCTGCCCCCGGCCGGTCCCCACCAGGGCCGGACCCGACCCCAACGGAGCGCGGAGCGCGGCGCGCCGCCGCCGACCGATCCTCCCTCAACCCCTCCCGCTTCCCAGAACCGTCCCGACCCCACCGGAGCGCGCCGCCGCCGGCCGGTACCCATCAGGGCCGGGCCCGACCCCACCGGAGCGCGGCTAGGGCCGGGCCCGACCCCACCGGAGCGTGCCGCCGCCGGTCGGTACCCACCAGGGCCGGGCCCGACCCCACCGGAGCGCGGCGCCGCCGGACGTGGCGACAGTCGGGAGCTCCAGCCTGAGCGTCTAAGTCGAGCGCTGTTACTCTCAGCTGCATACGATGCGACCCACCGATGCGTGTGACCTGCTACTCCTCAGAACAACTGTCGACAGCGTGTTGAACGTATTGTGTTGTAATGACAACAAACCGTTCCCGATGTAGTCATTCCTCAATATTCCACACCGGTCACTTGACCTTACACTGCACTTTATCCATGTATACCATGGCGAAGAGGCTACCGGCAGCACCGATTAAGTTTCAGTTGTATGTTACAATGATGAAGCTGGGACTGTTTCATTCTTCAACAAATCCCTTTCTTTAACCTCGGTCCTCATTCTGGCGCCTTGAAATCGTCGACAGCTAACCTCCAATGCGCTTGCTGTAAGCTATATGCCGTTTGCAGCTGTGGGTACTCCGGTGTTCCATCGATGATCCGTACGCCCCTTAACGATAGTATGCTTTTACCAAGGAGCTGCTGAAACTCCACTAATCAGTGACCGCAGTCCCCACCAGTCCGGGGTGGCAGCTATCAAACGCGTTCTGTTGTGTGACATAGCGATGCCGCGTGCAGAGCCCAGTGCCATACAACCTCATCAATCGGTAGCAAGACGCACAGCCCTCGTTCTCATGCCCCCTGTGTATCCGTGCCTTTCCCATTACGCACTGTGCTATTGGATAAGGTGATGGAATATCACACAAACCTACAGCGTACACATCTCATCGGTTTTCCTTTTACCATTGCCTACACAAAAGACAAAAATGCCTTCCGACCCCACGCAGAGCATCCCAACATCGCCTAAGACGCACGACTGCGCAGCTTCATGCGGGGGTGCCGTTGGCGCTCACCACCTCCAGCAGTTCATTCATACTCGACCCGCAGTGGTCGGATGCAACACATATTCCCGCCTGGGCTTGTGTACACGCCCGCGCCGCCGACGAGCTCCCCCAGCTGGCTAAGACCAAGCAGGCCGTCGAGCCTTGACATGTCACGACACAAGCGCGGCGAGGCAGGAGCACGGCTGCGCTGCCACTCCGGTTTCCACCCCTACGCGGCCCGAACCGAGCCCCAGCGGCGCGGCAGCTCCACCAGCCGGTATGCCTCCCAGCACGGCCCGGGGAGTAAGCGGCCGACAGCAGCAATGCCTTGGTACACGCTCCCCGGTCACCAGCTGACTCCAACAGCGTGCAGCCTCAAACGATCTCTCTTGGTGGCGCCGCAGTGCCCCAGCAGCGAAAAAAAACGCGGCCGCCCTCTGGTTTCGTTCCCACCAGATATCAGCGCGGTGTTGAGGGCAGCCAGTCTTCCGACCGTCAACGAAGTTAAAAGCACATGGTGATGTGACATAAAACTGTCATTGATGTTCCGAGGAAAACGACGCAATTTGGGTCATACAGGTGTGCTGAGGAGGGTACTGAGTAGGGCGTGTGGTATGCGAAGTCTGCGTTTAAACAAAAAAAAAATCGAGAAGTCGATGCCCAGCCTTTTGTTTTGGGCAGCTGGCAATAGACATCCCTTTGGAG